TAACTCAAATTTTCGATAGTATAATATATTTATAATGAAATTAGCGAACCGCACCGGCTTCACATGGGTTCAATGCTGATACCAAATATACATATGTAGGGCGAAGCACTGCTATTTACAGACACGCGCCGTCAGCCCCCGGCCGGTACTACCGCGACCGCTATGTCCCTGCATTTTGAATTGTGATGTCTTCGAAAATATTCAGTATAATTTTATGCTGTGAAGGGCCATATTGAATGCACAATGTGTTTAAGGTAGGTACTTAACTGGATAAGGATTATTGCTGTATTGCTTAAAATCGCTTTGTAAAAAAAGTGAAGGATAAAAAATGGCTATTGTTGGTTATCCCTAACAGATAGACATTTACCATCGCGGATTTTTTGTGGACCTTTTTAAGGTGTACAATACTGCAAGTACATTATTTTCATTTGTGTCGTAGGGTTCAGCCAGCGTTTGCCATGTAAGCACAAAAAAAATGTGTTTATTTACATCACATTAGAAACCTCTGAAATCAGTTTTTCCTTACTATATTATGCATTTCATATACATAAAACCCTTCCTCTTGAATCACTCTATCTACTGGAAAAACCCGCATCAAAATCCATTGCATAGTTTTAAAGATTTCAACATACATAGACACAGACAGCGGAAAGCGACTTTGTTTTATACTATGTAGTGATAATAGTTCAATGTTAATAAGATATTAAAATTCTTTTCCCCAATCTTTCTGTGCCGCAAAAGTATCAATAACATCATCAAAGTTTCAAGATCGCGACAAAGAATTTTCAATAGACAGAGTGGCAAATTTACGTGGCCTGTCTTTTTCCATAGAGTTTCTTAAATAGCTTTTTATTAATTGTAGTTTCGAAGATGATCTTTCAGCACTAGATGTATTCAGCAGAATTGTAACAAATAACATTAATGCAGTACATACTTCATGAGAGCTGCACGACAAAATGATTTTTCATTATCATCAGATCGGCAAGTTCTTTTTTGACTTTTCGACTTTTCTATTTCATCTCTGAAAGTGGGCCAAAACTAAGAATTTTCCTGACAAATGATTCAAACATCTTTTTTTTATATATTACAAGAAACTCTAGGGCTTTATTTGAAAGATCAGTATCATTCAAATTTTGCAAAGTTGCAAAATACTGAAATTGAAAACAATTTCATTCATTGGAACAAAACGCGATTTCGGTTGAATTATAATGATGTCCAATACTCCTGAAATATGTTCACAAACTTGTAACTCTCACTATAACAAAATCATCCGTTAGTATTTTGACGCTTGATTCACCAGAATAGTGGTATTTTAGAAACACTGAACCACAATTCTAGTTTATTTTGGTACATATATTTATTATTGGATGCTTTTGAAACAAGACGGTTTTGTCAATCATATAGAAAACATATTTTCTCTATGGTGTGAATTTTCAAGTTTGTCATTGAGAAGAGTCAATAGTTATTTTCACTTCACTTCATGATTCGATTATTAAATTTTTTGGAGACTTCAAGACTTTTTACACATAAATAACACATTTATTTGGTAAAATCCTGTCTCCACGTGGACATCCGGTCCACCCGGCCTCCAACCGGCGTGAATGGGGACAGGAGTTATGTACATCCACTATAACACTCCCACGTGGACATCCGGTCCACTCCGGCCTCCAACAGGCGTGAATGGGAGTGCTGTTTCTCTTCAACACGTATAACTGTTCACAAAAATGTTTAATTTAATGATGGCACGTTCTATGACGGCAGACATTCACAACACAAACTGAGTTTCATCCCCAACAATGGCGTCCGCGTGCCTTCTTTGTGGACGGTCGCTGTCGGCACGTCCGTCCACCACCACATAAGAAACGAAACTTAATAGTTATTTTCTAATACCGAATATAAACTGGCCATAGAAGAGTGAACATTTACCCCAACAACTAAAAAACGATGAAGAGATTTACGTCATACACTTAATGTCAGATATAATATCAAGATGTTTTATTACGTACTTCCATGTAAAAATTTCGGGATTTGATTTTTCATACGATGCTGTGACGCAGTGGCCAAAACGTTGTGTGATCCGCAAGTGGAATATATGTAAAAGTGACGCCACTCCTAGTCCATGTTATCATATCTATGGTGGAAACTGGAAAGCATGCATTGTAATCATATATTTTCTAATAAATTGATCTTATAGTGATTGAAATGAATATTGAAGTTGGCCGCTTATGCATTCTTGAATCATTCCAGTCCTTTGAACCTTGAAAAAATTTACAACCTAATTATGAATTTTGCAAAAAATCATCGAATAGGTAATTTTCAGCCAAATCTTGAATTTCAGGCTGTCAAAGCACTTGACTCTCACCACGCAATGTTTACGTTGGCAGTGAGCTGTCAGAAAAGACTTTCCTCAATAGGAAGACTCAACAAATTGTCTCTAGTCTAGATTCCTGTGGTCACACTGGCCTAAGAGGTAATTGAGCTGCTGACTCCCTTGCAAGGGAGGGCCCTGCAAGCGGTTTCATGGGAACAAAACCAGTCATTGGCATCACTTCAAACTGTGCTGAATGAACACTGAATACCATACTTCAAGAAAAGTTTTACATTGGCCCATTCCAAGTCATTTATACATCTTCGAAAAAATGTCATTCAATTGTTAGACTACAAAAGCAATGACCTTAGTTGTTTAACAAGCCTACATACAAGTCACTGTAGTCTTAATCCTCATATAACGAGACTTGGACTGTCAAATGACAAGTCTCTTTTTGGAAAATGGTGAAACAGCGAATCACACACTTTATGCCTGCTCCACCAAGAATTAACTCAAATTTTCGATGTTTGCTAAAGTTTCACTGCAGTCATCTGACCTAAAAATAAATTACTCAGCTTCATTTAGAAGCTGGACTCATTTGGTAAATAATGTTTCTTTTCAACCATTCAGAATAGAAACACTAATATTGACCCTAATCCAACATAAACCAGGTAAAAAATATTTAGTTTCTAAAAAGAAAACTTTATTAAAAAGACAGTTCTTTATTGATTAATCAACATATGCAAAAAAAAGTTTTTTAAGGCATTTATGCATCATAGAGGCGTATCCAAATCTGTAGATGTTAAACATATTCAAACGTTATGACAATTCAGGGAAATATATGAAACCTTGACATTACTGGCTCAGTGAATGTTACAAGTTTAGACTCTGACTGTTTAAAAAGTTGTTGACAGATTTGAAATCTATTAGAAAATAAAACTAAAAAATTTGATTATTTATCTTGATTGGTTTTAGGTAACAGTTATCAAAACGAGTAGGAAGTTGGTCTACCAAAAAAGTCACATAAACAATATTCCACAATAACAATCACTTTCATCTGCATTATCAGTTACTTGCGTTTCGTAGTTTTTCGACTGAGTTGTTCTTCAGCTGCCAATTTTGCTTTATAATCTTCGACGATTTCCTTAGCATGTACTAAGAATGATAATGAATTATCTATCAATTCTTCCCAACTTCTACAGTATGCTGTAAAAAATATAGTTGATATATTAACATTAAATTTAACTTGATAATGTACCCATATTTAATTTATAATTTTGTTAAATGCTTGTCACACTATATGTTCATAAAAATAGGTAAACTTATACACATACATAAATACACATATATGAATAATGTTTTATATAATAGCATAGTCACACAGACTTATACCCTTGTACCCAATGATCACCCTTGTGATCATTGCACAAATTATTTGTAAAGTATGTGCTGGGTTGTCCCCAACAGAGGTGATAGCAGTGGTCATTCCTACAAGGGTAATAACTTTTTATTGCCCACCTTGTAGAGTGAATACTCTTAGCAATCTGGCTACGAGAATCAATACATTCAGAAATTCAATATTATTAATTTAATCTCAATGGCAAACTCATCACTATGAAACAAAAAAAAAATAAAGGTAGAACAATTACTTGAGTCAAATAAACTTCTGAAATGGAGAATTGCAGATATGGAAAAAAATGTTTCAGCAAACAAACAAACAAAAAACGAAGTCATTAGAAATAAAAAACTGGCACAATTAGAGGGTGAAGAATAACACAAAGATATTCAAGAAAGAGCCAATAGATCTTAAACTAAAGTTATATACAATAGTGGGAAATCTCTTTCACTTGACTATTCAGAAGGAATTTCATTTGATAAGAAACAGTTCAAAAAAGTTCTTAGTT